AACCCACAACCTTCAGAGAGCAAGCTTTCTCTCTTGCAAACCCAGCAAATTTTCGTGCTTTGCTAGCCCATTTCCCCCATCTCCCCTGCTTTGGCAGATTGCTACAGCTCTGACAGAGTCACTGTCAAGCTGCCGGAAGCTACGAAAATCACCCAAAACTCTCCTCTCTTCCATTAGAACCTCTAACCTTCATAGGAACCCACAAACTTTCTCTTTCCCAAAGTGCTAAACCCATGGTAATTTTGCTCTCATGCCACATGCCCCTCATGCCAAGCCCAAAAGTTCATCTGTGAGTGTGAAGAAATTATCTGTAACTTGCTGTTGTTTTTGTTGGAGAAGATAACCAAAATACTTCCTAAGGCTTTGCTGCCCTTTCGAAGCATTTTGGGGCTTAATTTTCGAACTCAAACAAAGGGGACAACTTCATCAGCCCAGCCCACTTGCTGCCGGAAGAAAAAAAGCCCCTACAACTTTGTTTACCTTATTGTTCTGAAGTTTCATCTTAGCCCCGTTTGGTTCATGGGAAATGAGGAGACGGGAAATCAATTTCTTTCCCATGTTTGATAAGTCCAAGCATAAGAAATCGTTGTCTGGCACATGGGAAAGTAGGGGGTAAAGTGAAGCCCTACTCCGAACTTGATTAAAAAGTATTAAAAAGCAAAAAGGAGTGTAAGTGGAGAAAAAGGGAATGGGGAAATTAGATCCCCTTTTAGTTGAATTAATATGGATATAATTGGAAAATTATACAAACTTTATTTTTCATTCCTACTCAAAACAAATATGGGAAAGGAAATAAAGTAATAATATCTTCTGGTTACTTTCCCAACATTACCAAACGTAGGAATGAATCTTCCATTTCCTATCCCTTAAGAAATAACATGGGAAGTAATTTATCCTCAAATCTGTTCCGTGAACTAAATGGGGCTTAAGGCTAAGCCAAGGGATACTGGCATTTCAGTTTATGAGACTGCTGATGTTGATGTATGAGCTCCTTGAGGCTTTGTTCCTCCTTTTCTTTTCTTTTAATTTTGGTCAAATTTTGTGGCTTTGCTTGGCTCCTTTATGGGCTCTGTTTAGTGTGGCCCAGCTTTTGGTTGGACATCGTTGTTGGGCTTTATATTTCTTGTTCTGTTGTTTTAATGTGTCCCATTCAATCCAAAAGAAAAAGTAAATTGATGATACATAGAAAGAGACTTCTTGATGTTGTGCATCAAAGTGCTTTTTTAAGGCTAAATTGCACAAATCATTCATGTGTTTTGGGTCATATATCAATGTTAGTTATGTCATGAAAAAAACGCCTTGTTTTGATCTCTCCACAAAATTCACTAATTATTCGACGAAACTTTTTTGTCGCCACCGCAAATTAGTAAATTAAATTGTCTAATAAAGGCGCTATAATATTTGGCAAGGCAGAATAGGAACCAAGACCTAATTTATTTGGGGGCTCACGCATGATGTAAAAGTCCAAAACCACATGTCCTACACAATTAAAGGCATACCAAACCTATAACAATCACAACAATATAACCTGTTAAATGATCAATTCTCAAACAAGAGTTATGCTTCAAATCACACGGGAAACTACTTACCGACAGAAGTATTGTAGGATCGAACAATGATAGGTCCAAATCATTACTATTATGAGAGGCCATGGTTAAGTCTCAAAAAGCTTTATTTTCCTTCTTTATCAGGGCATTATCCAACTATCAACATATAACGGTCACCTGTAAAACTAGTCGTAATAAGAGGGCTGCTTGATTTGTAGGGCGTCCCATCAGGATAGTGGAACAAGTTGATATGATTTCCATGTTGAAAAGATTTCATAGTCAATTTGGTTTGATGGTGGTTGTGAAAATTCAATTCACATACTGTACTGTGAAAAGAAACTAAGGCAATCCATGTCTATAATAGAAACCCTACCTAACAATGGAGAGATTCTTAATCCCCAAGTTATTATTTGGTACGAATTAGCTAGGATGCCTTCATTGAAGATCTCCACCACCCACAAAGATCCTCATCGTAAGCACTTTGACACTCGATGTCTCACATTGAAAAAATTAGCATATTTTGTAATGATTTAAGAGTTCCCGAGCACTTTTCTATTGCATGCCAACTTTTAAGGGTAAGTTTGATCTATGAGCTCTTATCAATTGGTATCGTAACCTGGTTTCACCTTACTATTGGGACATAACTCCCCGGAAAGGCCAATCATCATTCCTTTACAAGCCAATTTTTAGAGCAAGTTCTACTAACGGGCTCTTACAGTAATTAAGAGAGAGAAGTTCCACATGTCCTCGAGTGTAGTACGAGAAGAACTTGTTCAACCACCGGTTGCGTTACCAAAGCCAATCCAAAATAAATTTGTAGCAATACCCGAGCACACAACCACAGTCTAGAACTTTTCTTGATCCCAGCGGAATTGAGATAAAGAGTTGCAACCAAAAAAAAATCACTGAGAATTGTCCGATTTCCACTTGAATTTCCATTGAATCACCCATGCTACCCAAAATCCTCCTAACCCTCTTTTATTTGTGTCAAAAAGAACCGATTTTTGTATCCGTGAGAGGGCAATTACATAACTTTTTGAAAACAAAAATTTCTCGAAAATGTTCTTAAATTTACAAAGAGCTACATGAAGGGCCATGATTAGGAGAAACACTTGTGTGCAATGGGGATAACGCTATTTTGTTATCCCCGGCTAATACGGCATGCCACACGTGACAATCGGTGACTAGTTAGGGATGACAATCGGTGACTGATTTAATTGATGTGGCATATGATATGAACATGCCACATCACTTGATATAGAAATGTGGGATAAAAATATAGTAAGTGTAGCATTACTCTTATTCAAAATGGTTAGCGTAAATGAGGAAATAAGTTAAAAGATTAAGCAAGTGAAAAATTGGATTCTCTTGTATTGTAACGAAAGTTTAGGCGTTTACCCCACACCACATGCCCTAGACCATCATATCAATTATCATCCTTGCTAAATACAATAATAGATGGGCTTTGCTGACCACATCATTTATGGTAGCAGAGCTATCTACTGGTTTTGGTCCAATCATATCAATTTCAAGTCACCAATCCAACAGCTCTTGAACAAAAACTTCAGACATAATATGTTTTCCATGTTTTCGTTGCTTTTCATGCATTATTGTTGCTGCACATCTTGTTTGGTCAATTTCAGCTGCTTTCGGCTTTCTTTCTACCAAAGATATTTTTCTTCAAGTTATTTCAGCTGCTTTCTGATTTATATCTCCAAGTCGTGTGCCTAACTTTCCTCCTCTAATTCTTCAATCAGTCTCTTGCATTTTTACAGCTAGAGCTATAGCCTCACCTGTATATTTTATTCACCTCACGGGACTTACATTCTCGACCTTTCCATCAGTCTTCATCCATGGCATGTTCCAAAAGTTTGTCTTAGATATCATGCCATCAAGCTCCATAATGTGTTCCTTCATTAAGGCCCCGATTTGAGGCTTCTCTCCGATAACTTAGCAACGCCAAGGTGTTAATTAATATAATCATGAGTGTTATAACTATCAAATAGAATGTCCATCTACTATTTTTACACATGCGCTTAATCTTCGCCGTGAGTGTAGACGTGCATA